CAGGTTCGAACACACGTTTCCATTGTGATGACTGAATATAATAATATAAATTTTTACATGTATTTATAATTAATTTACATAAAAAATTATAAAAATTGATATTTAAATAGATGATTTTAATTGATTAATTAATTGATTTAAAATCAATCTTTATAATTTGTTTATATAAATTAATTAAAAAATTACTTGTATTTTACATTTTACTTGGAAGGTTTAGAAATATGATAATAAGATTTTAACACCCACCATACTCAAACACACGTTTCCTCCACGATGGGCAGAATGACAAACCAGTCGAGCCACTACACCTGTCATGGTAGATCATTACATCATATTATACTTATTCATATGTAATTAAACCAGTGGTTTAAATGATTTAACCAATTAAATTGGTCAAATCAAGAACCGAAGGTCAAAACGGTTTGACCTCCGGGTCAGTTTTCAAAACATTGCTACTACCAATAACTGGATGTTTTCAAAAAAATTTACCTTATTTACTTATATCTTAGCTAGTCTATTTTGCAATTTTGTAACATACCAATAACTGGAGGTTTGTAATTGTTTGCCTTGTTCTGAGCATCATTGTTGAATACATCTTCATAATCATCATTGAGATCATCATTAGCGTGCTTGAGTTGCCGTTCTACTTTCATCGCCATATGCACCATATCTTCTAATTCCGCATAATGCTGCAGTTCTACCACATTAGCTATATCATGATTTATACCATGCAGAAACCGTGCATTCCTATGCATGTTGAACATTTACTTTTAAGAAGACCATGGCAATATGATAGGAGGGTAACACATGATGGCTTCAAAAATTGCTATTCATTTCTCATGGAGGGGAAAACAATTACTCTTGTACCATTGAGTCCAAGGCAGGTTTATGAGAATCAACTGAGAGTAAAAAAATGAATTGAATCTGAGTTTTTGTTTCTTTACTAGAGGCACCTTGCACAAATTATGGCATTTTGAGTCTGAAGATAAGTTGCTCAGGAAAATGAAAAGGCATACGTTCGCAACCAGGGCCCCTGCATTATTATTGCTTGCAATAATTAACCACCTCCCATGGAGTATGGTCATGATTATAATCTTTTCCCATTGCTTTTGCTTTTTGGTTTCTTTGCTTCCGAAAAGAAATTGCCTTTAACTTTTGGAAACCGAAGTGCCATTGGTCAAGTTTGTCTCTCTGAAAATGAAAAACATACGCGCAATCCGCGTAGAAAATCATAAAAGTTAATTTTGGTTCTATATTTAATATAGTTATAGATATGAGTTTTTAGTTTTAATTTTAAAAAATTTTAAAATTTTAAAATAAAATTAAATAATTTTATAAATTAATTTAGTTTTAAATTTTGAGTATTTTGTTTTAAAATTTCATACATAATAAATTTGTAATTTTAATTTTTAATTTTTAATTTTAATT